AGTTAATATAATATTATGTTCTCTAGCGCTTTATGCAACTTGACTGTCCGATACTACTATTTGGAACTGAGACTAATATGAAACAAAAAAATTTAAAATGATGGAGAAAAATTTATGTACTGTCAAAGCTTTTTACTATCTAAAAAATTCTTGCAATCTTATAGAATTTAACTCACCATATCCCTCTCTCAAATATCATAGAAAAAACTAATATCCTAAATTTCATCACACACCAATTTCATCTTTTTTACAACCCACAGAAAGAACAAGAAAAACCACAATGCTAAACTTTCAACTTTGTCTCTCCAAAATACGCAAATCACACATATAAAAGAAAACAAAAACACGCCAATTGACCATTAATGCTTGACCAAATTTGATCTAAGTTTTCCATTCAATTCGGCATCATGCAGGATCGCATTCTGTAAAAAATCTCCTTTCCAAATTGTGTAATTCTTTGGCACCATTTGTTCCCATAGAAAGCATGCACTACTAAGAAAAAATTATCCAAATCACTAGTGATTTCTTTTCCTTTCAAACTGCAGACTTTTCATATTTTCGTTTCGAAGTAGATGCTTATTAATTTCCATGTTTTGAGGAAATTTTCTTACCGATACTAAGAGACGAGATTATATTGCAAAAGTAATGAATATAAACTCCCTCCATCCCATTTATACAGATTGGTTATGTTTTTCACACGGATTAAGAAATTTTACTTAATGTTATTGAACAAGTAATTGTCTAAACTTTTCTTATTTGCCCTTATTTAATTATCAACAACTAGTAGTAAATTGATTATACTTAGGCAAATCAAATAATGGCAGATTAATAAACGAACAAAACAAAACATTCTCAATAAATAAATAGGGTCATATAATTGGGATAAGAAAATAAGAAAAGTCAGCATATATAAAAGGGACGGAAGAAGTAGTATATAACATGTTGGAGATGCATCGGAGTTGGAGAAGAAACGAACTAGAAAATCAGCAACAAGATGAACAAAACACGAACAAATCAGGATCAAACTTGATGGCTCGAACGCGTGTTCGCTGTCTTCAAAATATATTTGCCCCCTCACGGATTGAAAATGATGCTTGAAGGTTTTCCGGCAACAAGTTTGAAGGATTAAACAAGCCTTGTAAAGTTTAAACACTCAAGCATAAAGTGCAATCCCCAAAACTTGAAGAACCTAAAGAAGGGTTTGAATATGATGAAGAAAATGTGAATTCTTTTTGTTTTGGAATGATCTTTTTGTTCTTAAATATGGTTATGATTTTTGTGTGTTTTCAATAATGTTTTTAATGATCACAAACCACCTATATATAACCATGAAACATTACTATACGAAGTGGTGCCAAAAACCCTCCAAAAGCCACAAAAAATTTGAACAAAACGGTCACCAACGACTATATTGGCCTTTTATGCGGTCGCATACTTTCGCATAGTTATCTCAACGGCAGGGATTAAATCCATGCCTTGACCTATGCAACCGCATAGGCCAAAATTTGGCCTCCAAGAATGATTTTCATTCCACATTCATTTTTTTATCAGTTTTGAATAATATTTTCTAACATAACATGCGTATTGTGAAATATTCTTTAGGATCATTATCACACATCGATATTCCCTTGGGTTAATTTACAATTTTTCTTCTTTTCAGATATTTTATATTACATCCCTGGAAAATAATATCATGCGCATTCATTTAGTGCTAAAATTTGACTTAAATATGTCGGCCATTTAAAATCTAATTAGTATTCCTATGTTGTGGAAAGGAAATAGCAATTTCTTGACAAAGGCTTCCACCATTTTGGAATAGTATCGTTAGAAAATTATAAAATATATAATAGTGGCTGTGCCAAGGACTCCACTAGCCGGCACATTCCACTCCTCCATTTATATGAAACAAGTGAGTTCTTATTTTGATATGTTACTTGACCAAGACTTCTACCAGTTCATTAATTATATTTGAACTAATTTCCACCAAATTTATCATTTTTTCTACATGCTCACTCTATAAATATACCTAAGTAAATTCTTCTCCTAATGTGCATAACGTCCTTCCTTCTAAATATGGACTCCTTCATATCAATCTCCATTTCCATTTTCGTTCTCTCTCTTTATGCAATTTTATTCCATTGCACCAATGTAGCCACATTCGATATTCGTAACAATTGTCCGTTCACAGCCTGGGTTGCTGCCGTACCCCATGGAAGCAGATAGCTTTGCAGTGGCCAAACTTGGAGAATCAATGTTGCTGCAGGCACTACAGCTACTTTTATTTGGGCTTGAACATGTTGCAGCTTCAACAGGTCCGGTCATGGTCGGTGTCAAACAAGGGACTGCAATGGACTATATCAGTGTCAAGGCTATGGTGCACCACCTAACACCCTAGCCAAATATGCCCTCAACCAGTACAATAACTTGGACTTCTTCGATATATCTCTTGTTGACGATTCAACGTGCCAATGGAATTTAGTCCCACCTTCGACGGGTGCAGCCAGGGAATCCACTGAATCGCCGACATCAATGGTCAATGCCCAAATGAGTTGAGAGCACCTGGTGGCTGCAACAACGCATGCATGGTGTTCAAGAGCAACCAATACTGTTGCAATACCGGGAGCTGTTCAGAGAAACTATTCTAGGTTCTTTACCGCGATGCATATAGTTACCCTAAAAATGATCGAACCAGCACATTTACTTGTCCAGGAGGAACCAATTATCGAGTGATCTTTTACCCTCGAAGACACCATTTCACTGTAATAAAATAACTAAAAATAATTATAACAAATAATTTGAGTTCTTCTATGGAAGACTCAACTTGGCTTGAATAAAGTGCAAATACTATAAGGTTTTCAGATAAATATAAAATAAAAATCCGTTAAGAAAAACTTGTATCCATGTCTATTCTATATGAAGAAATATCTTTCAGTTTGTTTGGAAAGGCAATTAAAATTTATTCTCGAAAAGGCTTTATGCCTCGAAAGATCCTTTCTTTTTATTGAGGATGATAGATATATAACAAAGGATATCGTGAATGTGAATATAGAACAAAAAATAACAAGGGAAAAGCACGAGGATGTGCATACATCGTGAATGCCTCGAATGTGAATATAGCATGTTTGGCTTAGCTTAAAAGCACAAGGATGTGGTGTTTGGATGACATCTAGGGAAAGTCCATTTAAAGGTTGTTTTACGGGAAACCTTATTTCCAATAATTTGGACTTCATTTGACTGAGACCTTGTTGAGGATTCAAGAATTAAAATATTTCACCTGGTTGCATGGGAAGAATTTATTGAAAGAATTTCAAAAAAAAAATCATTTTTACATGTGAGTCATTACTATTAGAACTAAGAATAAATGTAAAAATTTGGGTGGAAGCCCAGCAATGCCCATCCTTTGCCAACTTGGATGTGCCCCGGGGGGCCATGACAAGATTTTAACTATGACGTATTTCAAAACTAAAAAATAAAATTTCAAATTTCAAAAATCATATATTATTAAATTTTATTTATAAAATAATTAATTAAATATATATTTCATTAATTAGATATATGAATGTCACAATTTCATATAATTTCGTAACAAATTATCAAATTAATTGGTTACAATTTTTTTCTCGATCACATTTAAAAATTTTTATAGCTGACGAATTAATTCTCATTCACAAATAAAAAAATTTATGGGACACAATTTATTTCTCGATCAAAAATCATAAATTTTGTATACCATAACTTATTTCTCGGTTAAAAATTTATTAAATTAATAGGTCACATTATTCATTGGTCACACATCACAAATTTTATAAGTCAACTTATTTCATGGTCACAAATTATCAAATTATTGATCATAACTTAACAAAATTTTAGGCCACACATTATTTATTTGTCACATATTAATTGGTCACAAATAAAAAATTTTTACATGTCACATAATACTTATTGGTTATACCGAAAAAGTTGATCACATCGTTCCACTCCATAGCCATAGCCGACACCGTCACTACCACCACACCATTACTGCCACCGCCACAACCTACAATGCACCATTGCCTTCTCCACCTATAGTGCACCACCATCACCATCTACAATGCACCATTGCCTTCTCTGCCAATAATGCACCACCATCATCACCGTCGCTTGCACCACAAACCAACCTATACCAAACACTATCTCTACCTATATTGCACCACCAGATAACCCACACCTACCACCACCTCCTCCATGTTACAGTCTTGGTGAGACGAGATCGAAAGCATTGATATTAGAACTGCAGGTAGTTCTTGATCCGTCAATCCCCAAAAGCGAGCTCTTCTGCGATCTGCTTTGTCCTCGATCTCCATGGAATACTACTTGCCATCACTACCACTTCACAACATGTACCCATCAGAATCTCACACAACCACAACCACCCAACTAAACACCACCCAACAACCAACAACCACAACCAACAGGACAAACACAACCACCTGTGACTAAAGAAAAAATGGAGGAAAGGACCCCCGACTTACAATGTCGAGCACACAACGTTGCCCCAATCCACAGTTGATTTGTGCCCCGCTATTGTTTGGGTTTAGCAACATCTTCAACTGCACCGTACAATACCAGTGTGTCGATCATTTCCAAAGATCCCCACGTCGTGTACAGCCCCTCAATACCAACGAAAGGAAAGAAAGAGAGTAAGAGAAGAGAGAATATAGAGATAAAAAGTTATTAATTAATTTTTGAATTGTCAGAGTATATTCAAGAGTAGGGGTGGGCAAAAAACCACCCAACCGGCCCGATCCAACCCAAACCAACCGGGTTGGGTCGATTTTTTTCATTTTTTTGGATGGGTTCGGGTTTGGGACGTTGAAGGC